TATTTGATTGATAGCTTTGCTGGAGAAAGGATTCTTGGTTGGCAATTTTTTCTTTCAGGGTTTCATATATGTCTCCCCATTGCCTTCTTGCTTGCATGGTTTCTGCTGAGATGCGAGCTTAATCTGACTTGCTTGCCTTTGTATGTGACACTTCTGTTTTCCTTAGCTGCTTTCAGAAGTGTTTCCTTATCTTTGATTTTGGAGAGCTTGACTTGATATGTCTTGGTGATTTTCTTTTGGGGTCTGTCCTTCCTGGGGTTCACTGAGCTTCTTGAATGTTTATCTTCTCACTTTTCAGGATGTTAGAGAAAATTTCTTCCAGCAGTTCAACTATTTCCTCTGAGGACCTGTGTGATTCTTCTTGTTCTAGAATGTCGACAATTCTTAAGTTATTCCTTAATGTTGTCCAACATGAATCTTAGACCTTCTTCAGATTTTTTTTATCCTTTTTTCTGTTTGCTCTTCTTAGTGGTATTGAGAGATTTGTCTTCCAGTTCAGTGGTTCTGCCTTCCATGTCGTCTATTCTACTCCTTTGCCCTTTCAGAGTATTGTCTATTTCTGATATTCTGTTATTGATTACTTGGACCTCTTTCTGTAGGTTTTGAATTGTTTTCAATGCTGTATCTATCTTATTTGATTGTTCCTCTAGCGCTTTCCTGACTTCTTCCTTATTTTTCTCAATTCTATTGTTAAGTGTTTTGAAACATTTTATAATCATTTTTCTGAATTCCTTCTCAGGCGTTTCCAAGGCCTGCCCTCCTTCCAGAATGGAGTCCAGGTCTACCTCTAGGTCATTAATCTCAGACATTTTATCTTGTTTCTGGGCAAGTGCCGATATGGTCATCTGCTTTTGCTTCTTGGACATGTTTACTGTTTATCTGTGGCCTAAAAACTTAATTGAGTAGGAGTTTTGGTATTTTTTCTGCTTTCTAATTGCATCCAGGAAGATGTGATCAGAAATGTGGGCTTCCCTTTTCATGCTTCTTATTGCTTAACTCAGAGTAACTTTCACGGTGTTGTTTGCTTCCCTGGTATATGGCAGTTGGTATTGGTTCTTGCCTGGATTTTGGTATAGAGTGTGATTGTAGCTTGGCTATATGGCAGCAGTTGATGACTCTTCTTGTGAAAAAGGGTCCCTCAAAGTAGAAGGGGGAGCATAAAATAGCAAAACAGCACCAGTGGGGAAAAAACAAGAGAAAAAAAAAAAACACAGCAGCAACAAAATCTAGACTGAATACTGCAGTCTATAATCACAGAAAAGGGAGGGGAGGGAGAGAAGAAAACAATAAAAGATGTAGCCTAATATCAGTATGACTTTAATGTCCTCTCTTCAGCTTCTTGCTTTCAAAGATGCCTGAGAGACTTCAAGATGCCAGTGTTTGTTGTTATGCTATACCTCAGGGTTTAATTTAATTTTCAGCCTATTTTGTTTTTAAACTCTTTTTCCGTCTCTACAGCCCTGACCTGTCCTTTCCCTATTAAAACAAATAAACAAACAAACAAAAATGTTCAGGGCCACTGTTGGGCTGAGAATCTGTGCACATGCGTGGCAGAAGAATCCACCAGTGGTGAGGGTGGGTGGTGTCCACTCGCTCAGGCTCCCCCTCTAGTCACCAGAATGGAGGTGTGCAAACAGCGGGGGTGCCAATGACCAGATACCAAAAAAAAAAGAAAAACAAAGAAAAGCTGACAAAGTGTATTGTCCACCTTTGCTCCAAGGTTCCCGTGGCATTTTTCCATGGTGTTTCTGCTGCCCCACTTGGTCGTGTCATTTGGTCTCAGCCAAGATGTCGGCTCCAGGCCTCCGAGCCCAGCCTGGCAGATTCAAAAGTATGCGATTTCTTACTTCAGCTTCAAGTTCCACAATCTATAAGCCTTCTAACTTTAAAAATATTCCTATCTCTGTGGTTCCAAGATTTGGAGCTTTGCCCTGGATCTACTTTGCCTGGTATTCTGTGGTATTGCTGACAGCGAACTTCACTGCACCACCACCCTAGCCACCATCAAGCCCCGCCTCTAGGAAAACTCTTTAAAGGGAACCAAGCTCCACTTGCTCTCTCCTCCTTGGGATGTTGAAAAGATGCTTCAAAGCCTAACTGCCATCTTGCAGCCATGAGGACAAAGCACACACACACCAAGGAATGTAGGACAATTACCTGAGCCCACTCAGAACTTATGCTGCTTGCCAAATTAACCGATTTCGTCAGGCCACTGTTGTCAGATTTCTGTTACAAGCAACTGAACACAGCCCTGATGATGTGGTACTGTACTCACAAGGTTATTGTGAAATGCTTTTGGGTCCGTTCCGACTCAGTCACCCTGTATAGGGTTTCTAAGGAACAGCTGGTGGGTTTGACCACTTACCTTGTGGTTAGCAGTGCAGTGCTTATCCTACAGTGCCATACCAATACACCATACTTACACAGCTGACAATTTCTCATATAACTCTATGAAGTTGATATTGTGAACACGAATTTTACAGCTGAGAAAACTATAAGGCTTGGAGAAGTCCAGGAAGTAGCCTACGACATACAGCTGTGAGTGCAAGCCGAGACGCATTCTAGGTCTGACTCCTAGGCCTATAGTCACTTCACTTTTGCCATGCTATCTAAAGGAGGAAAAGAACAAAGAGCCATGTTTGTTTCTAAGGACATTCTAGGAGGACTTGTGGGATTAACAGGGGCCACATTAATTCAACAAGTATTTACTAAATTGTGCTAAGTGTTGGTCATGTAAGTGCTAGGGTGGGATACAAAATACAACCAAAATGGACAAATCCTATGTAGCTTATATGTAGTAGAAAACAGAATAAGCAATTTATTATCACTCATGGATGATAAGGACTATGGGGGAAAAAAGAGAGTTAAGGATGATTTACCAGTTACTATGGTGTCGACTCCAACTCATGGTGACCTAGTGTGTCAGAGTGGAACTGCGCTCCATATAATTTTTGATGGCTGATTTTTGACAAGCAGATCAACAGGGCTTTCTTCCAAGACCTCTCTGGGTGGATTCCAACTTCCAACATTCTGTTAGCAGCGAAACATTTACACCACCCACAGACTCTGTAAGTGGGCTAGAGAGTGATGTTTTTGACAAGTAGAGGGAAAGTCTCTGAGGGGACTATCTCCTGGGCCTCTAAGAAGCTGAAGTGAACCCTAGTGGACATTGGGAGTGAGTCAGAAAGAAATGTAACACCAAATCCCAGTCACGTGTGTGTGTGTGTGTCAAGGGACAGCCAAGCGGCCTGTATGGCTGGTATGAATCAATCCACAGGGAAGGTGGAGGTGATGTCTGAGGTAAGGAAGTCTGGCTTTTTCTCTGAGGTGGGGAGTCACAGGAGGGCTTTGGTAAGAGACCAGACAGGGTCTAATGAGTGAAGAACAAAAGAGGGAAGAGGGAGGGCAGGGCTGGGGCAGCGGTCAGAGATGATACTTCAACTAGAGATACTGGGCCTGCATGGTGGTGAAGGGGTTGGCAGTGGTCAGACTTTGGATTTATTTTGAAGTCAAAGCTGACAGGATTTGCAGATGTCTGAAATGTGTGCTTTGAGAGAAGCCAAGGATGGTGCTTTGGCCTAAGCAGTGAGGTGAAGGACTATTATCTAAGTTGGCGAGGATTGCAGGAAGAAACCAGATTGTGCTTGGGGTGCTGGATATAGATGCTCTCTTAGGGTGAGTCTGGCTGGACAAGAGACCCATAGATTGAGCTGCTCCTTGTGCATGATCCCCACCTCATGAGGCACTGGCTCCAAGGGGACACTTTTCATCACTGTGCCCTACTTGACTCAGCTCCCAGGATACCCGCTCCCAAGACTCCTCCTCTTACTCAGCTCCTTCCCTCTCTTCTCTAACTTACTGCTGCTGTGTGCTGTCCAGTTGGTTCTGACTCACAGTAACCCTGTAAGGCTCTCTGAGGCTGTACATCTTGACAGGGACAGAAAGTCTCATCTTTCCTCCACAGAGCACCCAGTGGATTCTAGTTGCTGACCTTGTGGTTAGCAATACAACATGCAACCCACTATGCTAAACAACTAAGTGTCCAAAAGAGGTGTCAAGTAGTCAGTCACATATAATAATGTAAAGAGAGTTTTAAGAAAGAGGGGAGTTTGTGACAAATGCAATGGACTATTTGTATAAGAGAAGGACAAGCACTGACTAGGCGACTTGGCAATGCTGAGGTCAGTGACACTGACAGTTGGAACACAGAATTGGATTACACTTAGAGAGAGGGTTACAGGAACAAACATACTCCTCCGAGAACTGTCACAGGAAAATGCCTTCCTTTAGAACCAGAACCCTTTTCCTCTTTGCACTATTGCTAAGCATGCCAAAGCCTGGAGGAAAGTCATTCCTAGATACTTGGCTTCACAGCCCAGACTGGGTGTGGGAAGAGGAGCGGAGATAAGAAAAGAGGCATCAGCACCTTGTGGGAGTGAAATGCCATCATCTCTCAGCCTCTAGCCTCCCCCATGGAACCCCAGTATCATTTAGACAGCACATCATAAAAGACGTCACTGTGAATATTTATTATGATCATTTTTAAGTTCGAAAAATAAGCCCCAAATCTCTGGGCCATCAGCTAATCAAAAGCAGGATCCAGGTGCTGGCTGCATACCTGGCCGGCACATAGTGGTTCCTCCGATGAGGGCAGAAGCCGCTACAGGCAGCTCAACATTATTCCACACCACCTCCCTACTGAAGTGGGATGGAAACTGAGGCACAGGGGTGAAGGGAATGGCCTGAGGTCAGACTGCCAGGAGAGGCAAAACAGGAATAGGGTTCAGGCAATACTGGTTGTTTCATCTGAACTGCCACTCAGGGCACACTGCTATGGCTACTGTTTAGCAGATAAAAAGCCACTGTCTTCTTTCAAGTGACCAGTAATATGACCATTGTTGGGCAGCTGGGAGAGAGGGGCAAGGGAGCCAGGCCCTGACCTGAGAACCCAGCAAACAGGATTCTGCACCGGTTCCAGGCTCCCCTTGCCTCAGCCCTCACTATGAAGCCCACCCCTCCTTGCAGAAAACCAGCTGCACAGCCTCGTTCATGTCATTCACAATGTGGGATGCCTCCATGAGCTCGGGGCTGAAGTTGAAGTCTCGGTGCCCGTGGAATGGAGGCTCCTCTCTGCCCTGGGGAGGTTCCAGGGATTCTGGGCCGCTGGGGCTGTACACGCCAGTACACACAAGGATAGAGGTGCAGCTCTGGGTGGCCGATGGCTGCTGCTTCCCTAGACCACCAGCTCCTGGGTCCTCTGTCCTTTCATGCTTTGACTTCTGCAGGTACTGGTGGAACATGTTGGCACCGTAGACATCAGACATAGGGTTATCACTGGCAGGGCAGCCATAACAGAAAAGGAGAGAGAAGAAAATCCATGTTCAGTGTGGCCAAGCTGAGAGCAGAGAATGATTCTGGTGATAGGGTGTGAGTTGGGTATTGGGAAATGGAGGTGAATACAAGAGAGGAAGGGAAGGGAAGTTGTGAGAGAGATGGAGGCAGATGGAGTAGAGCTTACCCTACAGCATAGAGTTTCTGGATGGGAGCAGCCCAGCCCCGCCTCTCCGCCTGCTGCCTGATCAGATCCTCTGCGTAAAGGTACGTGAGGATGCTAGGTTTGCCCATCAGGCCCTCGTATCTCAGTTCTTTGCCTGTGACTTTCCGGTAAATGGTCTCCAGGCACAGGAGGAAAGTGCCATGGCCAAACCTGTCAGAGGAGACAGATCAGCAGCTCAGTCTTTCCTCTCCCAACTCTCCAGGATCTCTGAGACCACCCCGTTTCCGTGAGCAGTACCTGTGCACACTGACATTTTACCTCAGAACCCAGGTGGTAACAGCAATGATCAAGTACTTTGTTCACTTGTACCTGGTACTGTTCTAGCACTAGCAACAGCATATCCTAGCGAGCACTCAGAAAAACACCCTAGGAGGTAGATATTATTATCCACGTTTTACAACTCAAGCATAGAGAGCTTAAGTAACTTGCCTAAGGTGGTAGAGCAAGGCTTCCAACGCAAGTGTCTGGTTCTAGAAATGCAAGCTTAAATGCTACTTTAGATTTGCGGCAGTCTATGCTGCCTTACTCCTTCTTTCTTGGTGCCAATTTTCTGCTGAGCAAGTTGACACTAGCATAAAAAGGTTCTCTTGCCTTGCTTGCAGCTAAGTGTGGCCATGTGACTAAACTATAGCCAAATAGCCAACGAGAGCAGAATTGTTAAGCTAAACTCCTAGGGAGTATCCTTCTCCACTTTTAGCTACTGTCTGCTTCCTGGAATCCTGATATGATGGCTGGATTTTGGCAGCTAATTTGGATTATGAAGTGATGAGGGTAGGAACTGTACAAAAGAGATCTGGGCCCCTGACCTCTTACCAATCCCTGAACTGCCTACTCCCAACTTCTTTTACATGTGAGTGACAGAAACTGCTATCTTATTTAAGACGCTTTTGTTTTGTGTTTTTTCCCCCTGACACATCCTGATACTGTGTTATATTAATGTTGCGTTTCAGTGTTGCATTCTAGGAGGCTTCAAAAAATTCATGTAAAAAAAAGGAATGAAAGGATAATGGAATTTTCCCACAAACTTTTGAACTCGTATAAAGAATTCTATTGTCAACTTTTAAGTGACTGAGTGAAAAATTAATCTAAAATCCGGTTTGAACTGAAATGTGTCCCTTGTTTATAGCCTTCACATCCAACTCCCCCTCACCTAGGGTCAACATACTCTAACTTTAGGAACACTTCAGCAAAAATACCCAACCTCGAGCTGTAGAGTCACAACTTAAAACTTAAAAGTGACGAGAGAGAACACCAGAACCCCCAACCTCTTTGGGGTTGCTGAGCCACATGACGAGGTTGGACGGGGCCCTGAGCTCCCTCTATAGATCGGTGGCTGGCTGGGCGCCAGTGCCAGGGTGAGGAGGTCTCTAGACTTTGGCCTTAGAGATAAGGACAGTCAAACAGGACACAGCTGTTAACAGCTGGCTGTCCAGTAATGCTTCTAAGAGTCAGACAGCTACATGTCTGTCTGTGCTCAGCCCCCAAAAGAGCCAGGACAGAAAGAAGATAAGCACACAGCTGAGCTGCAAATGGGAACCTCTGAGAAAGCCCCTCGTCCACTCTGGGTCTCACTTCTCTGGTCTACATTCTGGGTCCTGAACTCCTGAACTCTCTAAGGTAACAGGAAACAAAGATGGGAAAGAACTAATGCTCCAAGGTGGTGGTCAGAAAGGAAGCACTATGGAGTGGTGCACATCACTACCCCTCAGAGATGATCCACTCGCCAGGCGAGCATGCTCAGTTCAGATCTGGAGGGCAGGGCCCCTGGTTTACAAGTCACTTCAATACACCCACAGTCTTTAACCCAGAGCTCAGTAACTGTGGTGGTGGTGGTGGTGGTGGTGTGCTGTTGAGCCAGTTCTGATTCATGGCAACCCTGTAGAGGGTTTCCAAGTTGTAAATACTTATGGGAACAGAAAGCTTTATGTTTCTCCTGAAGAACAGTGATTGGTAGATTCGAACTGTTAATCTTAGCAGCCCAACTCCCAATCTAGTAAACTACCAGGGCTCCTTCAATAATCAGAGTTTTCTTTGAATAATTAGCGTATGAATGGCTCCTTGACAGTCCTCCAAGAAGGCCAAGTTCCTATGGCAACTAGAGGGCTTCCTTAGGCAGGGTCCCCACCCAGAGTAACAGAATGCTGGGTGGGAACTGCCAGCAGTGAGTAGGTCAAGCCAGGGACTCTGGGTCCTTACCTGGGCATCTTGGCTTCAGCCATCCAAAGGAGGTCCATGTTGCAGGCCAGGACAGGGAGGTGGGGGTAGGGAGCTGTCGCCAAACCAGTCCCAGGGTTCCCATTGCTGAGGAGAATATCCATGATCAGCTGTAGGTTAGTCTCCCAGCGGACGGGCTCCCCAAGGAGGAGCACTCCTTAAGAGAGAGCAAAGGGACAAAAGTGAGGGTTACAAACCCTTGGCCTGCTTCCTGTAGTGGACTGGACGACCAGCGAGTGCAGCCCAGCAAACTCTTCATCCATGGCAAGGGCTCAGCTCCCTGAACATTCCTGAAAGCACCACTCACCGACTGACCCAAGATGAACAAAGCCCAGAGCCCAGAAAGGTGCTTGCTAAGAGTTCCTATTTTAACTGATGGCCACCGGTACCATTTAAATACAGGTCTAAAAAACAAGCCACCACAAGCCTTCAGCTCGCTCCCTTCGGCCTTTACCTAACTCACCCCTGCATGCACTCAGCACCTCACTGACCCTCTGTCACTTCACTCACTTCACTGGGAGTCCAGGGCCCCGCCCAACCTGGTGGTTCTGAAAGGGGGCTAGGGAGTGACAAGGACCGGAATTCAAACCCTGGCTCTGCCAATTTTCCTGTATGCCTGTGGGCAAGCACAGACCTTCTCTAAGCTTCAGTTTCCTCCACCACATAACAGCATCTATTTACAGGGCTGTTATAAAGGTAAAAATGAACTGAAATAAATGAAGCCCTTAATCCAGTGCTAGACACAAAGAAAGCACTCAGCACATGGTGGTAGCTACAGGACCAGTTCACTGGAATTGTAGCTAATCAGTAGTTCTCAATGGGCAGTATCATGACAAAAACAGGACACATGCTAATTGTCACAGTGACTGACACAGTAGGTACGGGTTTAGGAAGAGGACCAGAGAAATTAGAGACTCAGGACAGTCTTGCACAATGAAAAGCAGTTCCTAGTAAGATTGGAAAGTCCTCTCCTAAGTGCCGTCAAGTTGGTTCTGATTCACAGCGACCACGTGTGGTGGTGGTGATGTGTCGTGAAGTCGGTTCCTACTCATAGCGACCCTGTGTAGTGTTTCTGAGGCTGTAAATCTTTATGGGAGCAGAAAGTCTCATCTTTCTCTTGTGGGATGGCTGGTAGTTTCAAACTGACCTGAGGTTAGCAGCCCAACTTGTAACCTCTACACTACCAGAGCTCCTTAGTAAGTGTGTATAGAAAAGTTATATTATTTCTGAGTGTCATTTTAGAATAGACAGAGAGCATTATGATCATTTTATTATACAACAGGAGAACTGGATTTAATAAGGCTGAGAAACACTGGACAAGATTACCTCTAGGTACCTTTCCACTTGAAGATTCTCTAAGCTTAGATTCTTCTGGCATAATTAGGTGACAAGATGGGGAAGGCAATATTCACAGCAAATATCTCAGAGGCAGGGAAACAGATCCAAGACAGAGCCCAGGGGCCCAGCTTCCAAGTCCCACCCTTCCATGCCACACCAGACACAGTTACCTTCAATGGCTGGGAAGTCACTCCTCAGAAGAGGCTGCCAAGAGACAAAGAAGAGGCCTGTCACCTTCTACACTCAAAGAACCCACGCCAGTTTCCAAGGGTAGGTGGGAGGAAAGACTCACTCTACACAGATCAAAAGTCTAGCTGCAAGCCAAGGGAAAGCTGGACAGGACTGAGGTAAAAGACTGGCAAAGAAAGGTGAAGAGAATGGTGAGACTGGGCAGAGAAAAGGCTGAAGGGTACCACATATGAAAGCCAGGAGAAGGGACTGGTCAGCCATCCTTTTCCAACCAGGATAGGACCTAAGATTGGGCCACGCAATACTTTAGAATCAGTCAGGTAGGTTATGATGAAGGCTATGAAAAAAAGAAGTTATCAGGGTGTGACGAACCATTTCCCTTGATGGTGGGGGTATCTTAGGATTCTTCCTGCCCCAGGTGATTAGATCTTGGTGCTGCCGTTAACCTGTGGCCTAGGAGTAAGTCACTTCGTGTATGTGTGTGTGTGTGTGTGTGTGTGTGGTTTGATCTTCATTTCAGGGAGACTGGTTCCTACTCTGATATCCTGATTCTTCCCATAATTAGCATGGTTCCAGGAGAAAGTTTTCAAAAGGGAGGAAGTGCTCAATTCAACAGGAAAGCTCTGAACAAGGAGGAGGAGAAGGAAAATTTTTAAATAAATACAATTAAGTCTGCCTGTTTGTAACTGCATTTCACCAAATGTTGAGAGGGATCTAACTTAATAATATGGAGTCCTGGTGTGGCACTGTGAATTAATGCACTGAATTGCAAAGTTGGTTTGAACCCCAAGGTCAGCAGTTCAAACTTCCGGCTGCTGCTTGGAAACCCTATGCAGGGTCACTATGGGCTGGAACTGACGCTATGGCACTTAGCAAAACAAAAGTGCCAAACTAAGGATCAGTGAGGGGCCTGTGGCTACTGTCAGAAGACACAAAAACTCAAACTGGGGGTTTCTAAATCCGAGCCAAACCCAAAAGGCATGAGGGCAGATGTGCAGAATTACTTATGTTACTTTTACAAACAGGCAGCTTCTCAAACACACACAGCTCTTATCACATGTTTCTGGACAGAGTAGCAACAGCGGTTATCTTAACAAAAGTTAATGATTTTCCCAGGCAGCACTGGGGAAGCTGGCTAGTAAAATAATGAAACTCCTAAACAGAAGAGAAGCAGTCTTGGTGTGCCATGGTTAAAGTATTTGTCTGCCAACCAAATGCTCAGCAGTTTGACTACACCAGTGGCTCTGGGAAAGAAGACCTGGAGATCTGCTCCCATAGAGATTACAGCCTAGGAAAAACTATGGGGCAGTTCTACACAGTCATGTGGGATCACTAAATCAAAAACAGCCTTGCCGGCACACACCACAAGGGGAAGAGATGCTGGGGCTCAGCAATGGTTTTTAGCTCATTCTAATCCGTACAGAAAGGAATGGGTGTAGGTACCTGTTACTCCTCTGGGCCATTCTTATACAAGGGGGCTTCAAAAGGTTCATTATTTTTTAATTTCATTTCTCCACAAACTTTTGGAAGCCCCCCTGCCCAGGACCAAAATCCTGGGTCAGAAGTGTTTCTCTAGGAAGGTGTCCCTGGAGTGGCATTTCTGAGGGGGAAGGACTGCAGGCTCAATGGGTGGAGCCAGTACAGGGAGCCGGAGGGCAGAACTGATGGAGGAGACCCCTTCTTACCGTGGTCTTTGGCCGCCGCTCAAGGTCAACCATGTCAAGCACTGGGAAAGCAGTTCGAAGCTCATCCACAGTGACCACATTCTGGAAGCCCAGTCTAGAGCAAGATCAGGGAAGCAAAGCAGGATGGTACTGGGGATAGACACTTTTCTGAATGCAACAAATCACAGGTGACGAGAACTAGACTCAGTCCTGGTCAAAGTAGACCACCTAGCCCCTAGGAGCGGGGAAACAATCTGGGCCCAAACAGCCCAATGAGGGTGACAGATCCTAAAGGCTGGGCAGGCAGACTGGGCAGGCAGACTGCAGCATGGAGACAGGTGACCGCAGGGTACTCCATCAGCAGCCACTGGACACCTGCAGGTGCCAGATTCTATGCTAGGTATTCCCGGGGACATGAAGGCCACCACAGCCTCTCAGCTCCAGGAATGTGCACCTGCCCAGAGCCCATCCCTAAATAGTGCTCAACAAATGAGTTTAAGAGTGCAGATTCCCCCAGGGGGCGCGGTTTGGGCAATAGTCCTCAGGCAATAGTCAAGACTTGAACAGAATCTTGAAAAACCTACTGGATTCAACAAGGCAGCTTGTTGAGGAGGTGGGGCAAGTCCGCTCCAGTCTTATCTCCTCCACAGACTGCCTCGATTTTCCAATTCTCAATTCCGATTTATAATCTTAACAAGACCATGGCTTCAAACCACTCTCAAAATGAATCTCCCCAAGAATGATGCTTCCAGATCACCCCCATCAGCAATAAAACCTGCACTGACTCCCCAGCTCTCAGGAGAAAGTTCCCACCCTCTGGGTTTACTTCCAGGGCTCCCGACTCCCTTGGTATGGTCATACCTGTTCTCTCTTATTCCCACTCTGCTCCAACCTCCTGCTCCGTCACTGGGCTCCTCACCACTTCTCTTTCCAGCCTCCCTAGCTAGGTAAATGCTGTTCCCCGTGTATTTGTATAGCAAAACCTCAACCATTTCCTGTGGTACAGATAGATCTTTCCATGAAGCCATGGTAATACCTGTGACACTTAGAACCTACACTGCTTTTTCGTTTTCAGCCATCTGCCATCTTCAGTGTCCCTACGTTGTTCCTAAGTGTGCTATTCCTGCCTTCCTGATATGACTGAACCCTGAATCTTAACAGCCCTCCCCTTTACAGCATTCAGCACAGTGCTAGGGCAGGGCGAGCTCAGCACTAGTTTGTTGAATGAACAAAAGAAGAAACTGCATGAAAACAGGGGCCCAGTGAGTCTTGTGCATTTGTGCATGCACACACTCAGAGATAAGATCACCGCAGACCCTGCTGGTGTGCTGAGCCCCCCAAGGAAGGGATTAGAGCAGTGAGGTTCCCAAGTCTAGTGCCATCATAATCACCTGGAAATGTGTTTTTTTGTTGTTTGCTTATGTTTAAAATACAGATTAGAGTTTTGACCCATATTCAGGGAAATAAGACTCTGAGGGGAAAGTCCAGGGATTCGCATTTTCAAACTTCCCAGAAGATTCTGATACAGGGGGTATGTGGACTGGCTTCTGGAAACCACCCAGCTAAGGTCTGACAACACTCGGGAGCTCTATTCTCTCCCAGGAGCCCACCACATAGAACCTGAGACCCCGAGTCAGAGATGAAGCACCAAAAGGATACGCTCGGGCATTTTCCACCAGGGGCCCCTGTCCAGACACTAGCATTCGCCTCGCGTGGAACTGTGAGAAGAGCTTCATGGGGCTGTGAGAGAGGATGACTTGGTTGGGATCCACCTGTAGGGACAGTCAAGAGACAGAGGAGAGCAGAGGAAGGCACAACTATTCAGGGACCAAGATGGGGGTGTAGATGGCAGGTTCTCTCACCTACAAAGGGAAAAACAACTGCCCGGAAAAAGAGCTTTCTGGCACCAAACAAGTGAGAACAGGACCTCTCTAAGTTAGTTCTTACCACAATAAAACAGGAAATGCCTTCAGACATGGGTTCTGACCAATCCTACTGGTTCACCCTGAGACTTCTCAATATGCCACCTGAAAACATGTGCTCTTGGTCACTGTCAGAGAAATCTGCCTTTGAGTTTGACTGTATGTTTTCCCTTCTACTGAAACACTTTGCTTTTCACACTGAAATTAACTCTAACAATGCAGTCTTTACTCAGAATGTTTTTGGAGCCCTCTCTGGAAACCACACATGGAAACCACTTTTCTTCCTTTACAGGGTGTGTTAGTCCCCAAACAATATCACCCACTCAATCAGTCACCTTATTAGCTCTTGGTTCTAAAGGACTCCTTCCAAAAGCGAAATCCACCCTTAGAAAACAAGACTATATCAGTGCGGGAACAGGGTGTGGAGTTATAATGTACGGATAGAGAGGGGCTGCTTTTAGGGCACAGCGCTCATTCAGATGTGCACATCTTATGTGTGAAAACCAAGGTGTGTCACTGGTATGTGGAGCTTTAGACAACTGTGACCATTGCTTTCTAGAAGCTGACAGTGGACAAGCCCTGGTACCTACAAGAAAAGGAATGAATTCAGTAGAATAAAATAATCAAATACATGGGCAGGATTTTTAAGCTCTCAAAGCTGTTTGAACCGCATGGTTGGCGGTTCAAGCTTACCAGCTGCTCCTCGGAAACCCTATCCAGGGTCACTATGGGTTGGAACCAACTCAATGGCACTTAACAACAACAATGTATATAAAGGGAGTTCTGATGTGATACTGTGGGATAACGCAATGCACTGGACTACAAGTTCATTTAATTCGCAAGATTGGTGATCAAGCTCACCAGGCGTTCCTCTGAAACCCTGCACAGGGTTGCTCTGAGCCAGAACCGATTCGATGGCACTTAACAACAATGTGTATGAGAAATGACTTACTAATGGAGTCCCGATGTGGGGATACAGAATAAGCACTGAACTGCTAACTGCAAGGTCAGCAGTTCAAACCCAACAGCTGCTCCTTGGAAACCCTACACAGGGTCACTGTGAGTTAGAACCAACTTGATGACACTTACAACAGTGGAGTTCTACTCTTCAGGCTGGGCTTGAACTTCAAGTTACTTTTCTAGCAGGGTTGAAAGGTTTGCATTAGCCAATTGGCAATGGCCTAGGGCTTATCAATACTGTACCCAAAGTAAGAGAAGAGGACCTAGTCAGAGGGGGAGAAGGGGCTGTTTCGGAAGCCAGGTTCTTGTGCTCCCATGCTTCTGGTATCTCCTTACCTTGAACCCCAAGAGGGATGAGAGCTCCTGGGCTTTGTGGTGTTGTAAGATGTTTCCAGCATTTGTAACAAAGACAACAGGTACTCGCAACTGACCCTGGGAGTTGACCAGCTTGCGGAA